CCACCCAATACAAGCAAAGATAGATGCTCCATGTCTCCACCTTCCCTTTTTTTCCTTCCTCATAATCTTTTTGTAGATACTAAAATGTGGACCCTAATTTTGCTCTAGACAAGCATAATAGCATAATAGATGCTCCATCAATTGAATTTTAGGTGTATGAGAAAAACAATGCAAAGGCAAAAGAAGATGAGGACCCCTCCCCCCTTCTCTCTCTCTCTCTCTCTCTCTCTCTCTCTCATGGAGCCTGAGAATTTATAATTTGAAATGGTTAGGACCCATTGAATAGGTCCTCCTTGTCAAAATGTTGAATATTGAATGGGATATTCCTTTTGTTTTGAGAAGAATCATGAATGACCTATCACACACCCAAAAAAAAGAAAAAGAGAAGAGCTCTAGGAATCATAAATGATTGAATCTCCTGAACCAACCCAACCCAACCCATTATAATTTCTCGACGGGTTGCTATCTCTTCAATCGGAAGTTTTCGTAAATGCCATTATAATAATTCAGTCGATATTCATTAGGTATAGACAACACATCCATTCGAGCGATATCTTCAGAAAGCTCCAATTTTTTTGATTCGCATGTTCTCAGCATCGCTAAAGGAAAAATACATGTAAAGAATCGTATGATCGGGTGTTATAGTAACTTATCAGATGGTTTTTATGAAAGTTCAAAAAACATGCATATACTATTACCCAATGAGAAATCATCAATATAATACATAGAGCATAGCTTTCATTATCAAAAAAATGATTGCTAGCGATCTTAATCATAAGAAACCCCCCGGTTATAGCGCTGAAAATTCCTCAGAGATAATGCATGCATTCATATTCTGTACGTGAAGTGGACCACTATGTCCACTACAACCACCACCAAAAAACAACAAAAAAACGTAGGTCTCACCTAAAAGATTAATCCCATGTGTGTGTAAGTCCAAGTTGGCTGTCCAAACTCTTTTGTCCGAGTAAAAGATTGATTCAACCTCTTCTTCTTCTGGTCTATATAGATGCTACATTGGAGCAATGAAGGTCACCTAACATGCACCGATTCGACCAAGCTCGCATAAAATGGCGGCAAGAATTGACCGTTGGCAAACTCCATAGACATTGTCATAAGAACACCATACTCGTAGTCAGAATGTTTCATTCGGGCCGCAACTATCAGTGCTCATTTTGAGTGAGTCCGTTGCCGCTCCCATCGAGTTGGAGGAAAACCGAAGCGATCATGTCAGAGAGACATGTTTCTCTTGCCCTTCCAAAAAGGAATATACACGACCCAATATCAGAGAGCAGACTGATGCATCCAAGCCTTCTTCTCTTGGTCTACACAGAATGCTGAAAGTGACACAGCCATTCGTGAGGTTTCATGGGATATGCAATAGCGGAGATAAATCAAACTTAGAACATCGAATCTGTCAACACATCTACATGAAACAGAGAGCTTTTGATAGGTCATCAACACACAGCCTACTTGTTTCCACGTTGAACTTCTCTTCAATACAAAAAAGAAGAGAGAGAGTTGATTATGGAGTGAGACCTAATCCCACAAGGTTTAACTTGGCAGCATAGGGAGCGCACGTTTTGGGTACGGTTGGTGAGAAGCAGAAGGTCTCATCCTAATCACTTCGCTTGCGCTGCCCAAATCACAATCACTCAATAGATTAAAACTTGCACGTCCTTGTCGATCGCCATCTCCTTTCAAAGTGGTGGTTGAAGTGGCTTTCATTATGTGCAACAAGCACTTCCATCGGGTGATTAAGATTGAATAATACCTTTCGTTTGTGCGAAAGATGAAACCAACACGTGCCCTCAAGATTCACTTTGATTCGTGGAAAGGGAAAGCTAGGATGATGAGGTTCTCTCTTGCCCTAGTAGAATTTATATTGTTGAGTACGTCTTGAATTCTATTTTCAGTATTTGACCCAAAGCGAGTTTTTTATACCTGAATTGACATTTATAATTACCTGACTTGAGAAAAAATTGAAGGTTTAGTGTTGCTAGCGGCCCCATAGCCTAACACTGGAGTAGTATAACTATTATTTTTCTCCAGTTATTAAATTGACTGAAAAAAGAAGTTATTAGGTTTAAACTAGAGACAAAAATAGTCTTTAGTTTTTCGAGCAACCTTTTAAATTTTTTGAATTTCTATAGTAAATTTTGCTTCTCCTTTTTCTATGGTTTTTTCCGCATAGGTTTTCCACATAAATCTGTGTGTTCATTTGTTCTTCTTAATTTTAATTTCGTTGTAGTTTCCGAATCTATCATAACATATACTTCATTTGTTTTATTTTTACCAAAGCTCATGCTTGTTATTTTCCTTTTAAGGAAAAACCTAATATTGCGTTTGGTAAGGATACTAGATTTGATCTACGAAAGAGTGCGTTAAATAATGCATTATATAGTAAGTGAACTTTTAGATAATTGAGTCATATCGAGCACTTCTTTAGAGTTTGTCGCATTATATGATACGACACCTTTCTATAATAGCTTTTTAATATTCTTCAGATTTTTCTCTGCTTAACCTTTTATAATTGTCCACTCAATTCATCATGGAATATCGGAGCCTACGTAATACAGAATATGGAAATCTGATCTTCCGTGCTTCCAAATCCTAACAGCAAATTCCACAAAATCTTTGACAATGCCTTAATTATTGCTCAAAAGAACTTTCATTGTTTTGACTAATGCCAGTACGATGGAATAATAATATCGCCACTTGAAAATCACGCTTAAAAAATGCAGCAGTAAGGGGGAGGGGGAAATTGTGTTTTATAAAGAAGAAAAAAATAAAGGCCGAAGGAAAAGTAAGCAAAAATCGCTATAATTTAAGCGATCACATCAATATTGACATTGTGACGTGTTGACACATTGACATTTTGACACCCACACGTGTTTGTGTCCCACCTATTGTGCGTTCACGAGCTCAAAAACAGAAAGTACTTGAACCAATCTGATTGAATGTTAATATCTGCACCTTCCCTTGCTCCGTACCTTAAATCAAACAATCCAAGAACTAATCTTCTACCATATATTACAGCTGATTAGCTCAGCTTAACAAATATATTTAGAGCCGTCGAAGTGATCTTCTCATGAAAATCCAGAAACATTAGTGTGGCACAATTGTTCTTGGACGAGAGTTAGATGGACCAATTGATGCAGCTTGAATTTTCTTAGGGCAAGAAAGGCCTCTGAAACCCTAAATGAGACCCTATGAAGTTCTTGGTCAGTGCGGTTAACCAAGTTAATTTCTTTTTGGCAAGGAATGAATGGGGAAGTTCTTATGATTCGGCACGGGACCAACCATGATTGCCAGAAAAGGAAAACAATCAAGGGGAACAAATGATGCCAAAACCACATCGCAGGTAGCGTGAGGTAATCAAGTATTACCACTAACAGTGATTGTTCAAAGTAACACGCATTCGACCATTTTTAAGCATTGATTCCGGTCGACAGCAACCTGATTCCAACTCTGCCTAGCATCGACGAAGAGATCATTGCTTACGGATCTCCTAATTTGGAGTGGATAAGATGCCTTTGATTCAACCGATAGTTGGGCTGCAAAAGAACATCCGGAACATCATGCTACTGAAAATGGAAAACAAAGCTCTAGGATGTGGATGCCAGCAATTGGAAAAACTAACAGCATTTTCACTCGAATGTTACGGTCAAACCAGCTTATCTCCAACTAATACTCAAATGTTTTTCAGTGGATGACATATGAACCATTTGCAGTGTTGACAGGAAGGAAAAGTTAATTGGGCGTTTTGAATCTTTGATGTTCTTTTAACCCCAATGAGAAAGGGCATCTCTCCCTACCGCCATGATGAATGAACCCATACGAAAAGAAAGAAACAAAAAGATAAACAAATCAGCAAAAGCTAAAGTGGGTCAGTCCTGTTCCTTGTTAATTGGATCCTCTCAAAAAAAAAAAATTAGATCCTCTCACCAATATCGAGTACTTTTTTCGCTTTCTCATTATCGAGGTTTTCAGCTCAAGATCGATTCAATTTGCATATCCGTTCTTTCTGGGAATGAAATTTTAATCCGATGCAATTTGATGATTTCCGTTTATCTACAAAGATTAGCCGAACGGAAATCATAATCCTCCAGCTCTTCCTAAATCATGACAAAAATCAGTCTTTTTTCTCTTTTGTCGATGAATCTCGAGTCCTCCACCCAGGCCTCGAGTTCCGTAAAAGATGAATCGATTTTCTAAAACCATCTTGACCCAATAGAAGAGCCTGGAAGTGTATGTCCAATGTTTGGCATATAGTCATTTTATTTCAGAATAATTCTTGAGTAAAGTTTTGGAACTAGAAGTTGCAGCAAGATTGATTTTCTTTTGAGGCTCCATTCATGGTGGATGCTTTCTCTTTTTCTTTTTTCTTTTTTTGCCATATAATTATTCGAATCTTGGGTATAGAGACAAGGTTTGTTGTCACAGTGCTGATAAGGGCCACATCAACCAGCCTTTTTGGTGTCAATTTGGACCCACAACCCCATTTTAAATAAGAATCCCAGCTACTCTTGCCTTGCTCATTCTTTGACTAATAATGAGCACTCTTACTTGCTGAAAAAGAGCATACGCGATGTTGTTATTCCATTTCCTTCAAATTCACTTCATTGATGTCGTGTGAAAGATAATCGATACTGTATTGATTAACTCAAAAAGTGTCAAGGGTGTGTAAAGATAAGATTCATCCTCTACTTAACTTCAGTTCATAAGTTTTTCATAGTAACCTCCTCTACAATCCCATTCATGTATTGCAGACTCGATAGAGAATAATGTAAATGTTTTTCTTTCTTTTGCGAAAGTGGTACCTAATTCCTTGTTTTATTGTAGCAATAAAATAACTCAAGGTCCAGAGGAAGTGACTTGGCCTGTCATGGTTCGTTGACAAAAGGCAGTGAGACTACATGGTTTTCTTCTTTTTTTTCCTTCTGGAAAAGAAATTTATCTGCCTTTAGAACAAGGACATGAAGAAAATGATAAAGAAGAGAGAGAGTTGATCTTTGCCTTTTCTACATGCCAAGCAACATGGCACTAAAAATCTTATATATATACAAGCTAGGGTTAGGGTTAGATAGGCATCAACTACCCACAAAGCTGCTTATAGCTTTTACTCCTTATTTTTTTCCCCTCTCCATTTCTGCTCTCTCTTATCCATCTATAATCAGCATCGTCCGAATCACAATCTTGATCTGATTGAGCGCGGAACAGATTCAGCAGAGAAGCAAGGAATTGATCATCTGAAAGAAAGAAAACGAAAACTAGGGTTTCTTGAAAAGAAAAGAAAAACAGAGAAAAAGAAAGTCATGAAGAAAAGGCAAGTGGTGGTGAAGAGAGATGGGTCAACTAGGATTTGCACGACATCATCATCGGCAATCAGGAGCGTTCGATACGCAGAGTGCCAGAAGAATCATGCGGCCAGTATCGGAGGATACGCCGTGGATGGTTGCAGGGAATTCATGGCCAGTGGCGAAGAAGGCACCAGTGATGCCCTCATTTGTGCTGCTTGTGGATGCCACAGGAATTTCCACAGAAGAGAAGTTGAGACGGAGGTCGTCTGTGAGTACTCGCCGCCCTCTAATTCTAGTAACCGATAGTTGAAAAACGCGTGTGCTATATTCATACGACACAACACTCACAGCATGTAAAACATGGCGTTCTGATTTTGCTTTCACGAATTTGTGACATGGAGGTACTCTTAGATTAAGGTTGTAAGATCATCTTTGAATGAAGTTCTCGATGCTCTCTGTAACAGAAACGCCAAGCATTTACTTTAACCACAAAATGTCCAATTATTGATGATGAGGTTTCTTCGTGTGTTCTTCTTTATACACTGTCGGGAATTGTCCGCCGTTGGTGATTCGATTAGAAGTAAGTTTCTTGTGGAAATGAACTTTATGTTCACATAAAGAGTTTTCAATATGAATTTGAAGAACAGCAAGTGGGTGTATACATAAGTCGTAGAGGTGAAAGTAAAGGGGAATACGTATGTGGTATTTCGATGGGATGACAGCAAGTTCTTCAATATATTAACCTTGGTTGAAATTGGTTAAATTCTTCCTGTGACGATTTTATCCGCCATCTATATCTAATTCTTTTCCAGATTTTGTGACTATTGTTTGACCGATGAATCAATAGTAGCACTTCTAAATAGATATAGTGTATAGGATCAGTACCTGTATTAGGGCATTAGCTAACTGATACAATAGCTACGTTTAATGGATTCTTAGATGTAAACGTGTATTAGAACCGTCATAAAATCTTCAGCAAGCATAGTGCAATCAAGGTCTCTTGTTATTCATAAATGTGTATGTTTCTCCTTGAACATTTTTCAAGCACCTTCTCTCGTACATAGTTCTGCACTCGCTATTGCTAATTAACTTCTGTTTTTTCCCATCCCAACTTCCACCGAAGACTTCCACCAAAAGATGAATTTGCTCCACTATCAGACAAACCTTTTAGACAACCAAACAGAGTTCGATGTTATCTCAGTGAAAAAGATAGATTATCTTGGTTTACAATCATATGATATACTTGTAGTATCATATTTTTATCAGTGACCCACATCCAATCATGTCATCTAAAATATTTCCAAACCCGCTTTGATTGAATTACCTTCGGTTGACTAATTGTATCCAAGAAGAAGAAACATATTGCAGATTCCAATTGTTGTAGATACCCTCCTCATTTTGTTAGTCGATTCGAATATGAACATATATAGCAAATAGAAGCCATCTTGGCTGGGATTTGCTTTGATGAATCAGTTGGAATTCATAACTTTTTGTTGAGATCAGTCCTTTTTCTGCTGTATCCTTTTGATCATGGGACACTAAGCATTGTATGTGGTAGAAATTCTCAATCAAAGAGTCATCGTTGATCCCTAAAGCTTAATCCCCAATACTCGTTGCTCCTCTTTCAGACTACTTCCCATTTGATTGTATATGTAGTTCTGGGGACTTAATTGAGTTGATATTACACACGAGTAACTGTGCATGGATAGCAAGTCTGCATGCTTTAGTATGCGCAGGAGTGTTTGCTGTGATTGATCTCCATCTATTCACAAATTTTTGTGGCATAGGAGTATTTAGTGACAATTCATTTAGTGTCATATAACACCATTCATACGTCTAGTAACCCCAACTACTAGATGAATTAGGAAACTAAAGTTGCAGAGTGCCTCATAAGTTGCAATCTACTAGCTGAATCTTATGATTCAAGTAAAGCTATTGCTACCACTTCAGTGCGATACAATCGGTTTTATTACAACAATAAGAGAAACGCCTTCAGATATGCATAATGAAAAGCATGTTGATTCTGCATTTTATTAGGCTCGTGAACTGTGTCAAACTTACATAAATACGGACAGCGTCCTAATTCTCATTACTCGTTTTCTTTGTAGGAACAGAACATAAAATGGTTCTGACAGCGCGACCTACATGTTCTTGCCCAATCTTTCAACATGTACATGTACGCATCTAAAAGGACTTCTCATCTAGATCATCCGAGCTAGTGATGTTCATTCGATGACATCCGGATGGTAGGAAAAGGAAAAAATCGCGCGAAATGCCAAAAGCAAAAAGGCAAGATTTGATGTCCGTATTGTACACACCAATCATTCACAGTAAGTTGTCATCAACTCCCTCCAATCATTCAAGTTCTGCAATAAATCTCAGGAGCACAAGAGATGAGGCTTTCAATAGTTCGAACTCGAACCTGTTCTTTTACACTCTATCCGCTAGAGAATGTGCACTAGTGGGGGTTGAAAATGGTCTACTAGAATCCCACTCAGTGCCCATCATCGATTTACACCATAAATATTGAAGATACGAAAAGCATACCAAGCAATCGAAAAAACGCAAGGAAAAGAAACGATAAAGGGGAGGTAGAAAACTCAAATTTTGATGCTAGCTAGTGCGGTGGCGATTGGCTTATTGTGGGGAGGGGCGTAAAGAAAGAGACAAGAGGCCATGAAAGGATGCATGCTGTAAACCCAAAGAGGAACATTACGTGACTAAATCGTGTCGTTTCAATTTGACACCTCACCAAATCTTATAATCATGCCCTTTAAGACCCTTCAGCCCTTGACTTTCACAGGTTGGATTGGATTGACGACATCCCACAACACCTTCTCGTTCCATCATGCTTCATGGGCCAAGGCCAGCCCATGATTTCCTGTTCTTTTCTTGAGCTTGCAATCCATGAGATTTACCACCTGATCTCTGTACTTTGATTCGAAGCTTCAATGTGATCATTCGTCTTGTGACCTTCCTATGCATTTTGTCTAGATCGTCCTGTGATTCTCAATGTTTCATCCTCTGGCCGGCTTTTGTTTACACACAAAGCTTCTTCGAGAGGCTCTATGTTCGGCTTGGGTGCCGGGATTCGCGCGACGGCTAACGGCGTCGAACTAGGGGTCATCCTGCTTAGGCCGTGACCGTCATCGAGGAAATTTCGTTTGGCTGGGATTTGTGTTTGCATTAGAAAGCCGAATGAACAAAAAAGGCCTTTGACGCAAAGATTTGGGGAGCTTGATTGCTCCCGGCGCGGTTTTGTCGACTCCATGCATGGTCAATGTACGGCTTTTACGGTGGAGGATGTAGTCGAAGCTGGCGTTTGTTTCGATTACCTTGGAGGACAACTCGCGTGTCGGCGTCCGTCAAGCTCATACAGGGCTGTCTTGTTGCGATGTGTCACACCACAATGACATTTTTACATTCGAAGCAGTCAAAAGCTATACGTACACTCTTGGGCTTATTATCCTAAAAAATCTCAAATTTTAGTTATAGTCCCATTCTACCATAAACTTTTTTTCGTCTCATAAAAACTCCCCAACTTTTGATCCAGTCCCAATTCTATAATAAGCCATTTGTCTCGTAAGAAATTACAAATTTTAGGTTCGGCCCCAATTTTACCCTAAAACTTTTTTGTCTCATAAAAAATCACTAACTTTTACTTGAGTCCCATATCTGCTCTTGATAACCCTCTATACATAATCTCTCTTAGTGATATGGCATTTTCACATCATTGCTCTAATTTTTTCCCAAATTTCATATCAAAGAAAATATCTTTGGAGATGAATTTCCATGTCAGCTCAAATGACGTCTTATTAGATTTGAAATTTGAGTAAAAACTAGAGTAATTATGATTAGCTTTCCTCAATTTTTTTTTCTTGTGATCCTTCCATCTCGCTTGGGGATTTGATTTTGCCCTCAATATTCTATCGTGCTTAGGAGTTTTCCATCTCTCGCGATCAAAAAGCTCATGCTTGAGGTACTCGGCACAGGATGCTCGAACAGCTTGTTCGAGAGTTTTCCATCTCTCGGTTGTCAAGAGAAATTTTGGACAGAGGGTCCATAAGATAAAATTGAGACTCAAGTGAAAATTGTTGATTTTTTACAAGACAAAAGAGTTTATTGTAGAATTGAGACTGGATCTAATTAAACATGTTAAAATGGGTCTTATACCCATATATGACCCATTTAAAAAATAAACAGGTCACTACAATTTTGAAAATACTATCTTAAATGGGTCTTAAAGTTTTAAGTCTATTATAAATGGGTCTAAATGTGTTGAGTGTAGAACCCATTTCCATCCCACCCATTAGGTCCACACACACTTTCCCCCTTTTTATAAAAATATTTTTTAAAAAATCGAAATTATATTTATTTTTATTTTTTCTCTTTTTTATTTTATTCTTTTCTTTTCTTTTATTTTCTTTCTTCTTTCTTTTTTCTTTATTTTCGGCCAGTGGCCGACCACGGTGACGGCTGGCAACTGGCGACTGGCCATAGGGGAGGAGGACCTTGTCGGCCTTAGGCGAGCCTCAAGCTCGCTCAATTCCGGCGAGCCGCGCCGAGCCTCGCTAGATTCGGCGAGGTCGAGGTCGCCCAATTTCGGCAAGCCTGAGGCCTCACCGACCTAAGCCAAGGCTCCAACCTCGTCCAATGCAGTCTCGGCTTGGCTCGACTCGTCGGAATCGAGCAAGCTCAAGGCTCACCTCGCCTGAGGCCGGCGAGGCCTCGGCCTTGCCAAATCGGCAAGCTTGAGCTTTGCCGGCCTCCGGCGAGCTTGTCCTCACCTGTGGCCAGACACCGTGGCCAGCCACCGGCCAAAAATAAAGGAAAAAGAAAAAGAAAATAAAAAATAATTAAAATTTTGATTTAAAAAAATAAAATTCATTAAAATTATTAAAATGAATGCACGAAGTAAAATGAAATCAGATATTATGCACCAAATGTCAGAAAATATTTTCTAGTTCATTTTCATGTTTCAACCGAACATCGGAATTATTTTTATTTTCATGGATAATGACTTCATGGGAAACATTTTCTAGAAATGTTGCATTTTTCGCGAAACAAATAAAACCTCAATTTTAAAAAATATATATAAAAATTGTTCACTGGCTTTGTATGAAAATGTTTTAGCAGTATAATTTTAAAAAAAATCATAAAAACAAGTTTTCCTAGATTAAGTTGAATATAGAAGTGTTTTAGCAATATGAGTCGAGTCGGGTATGGGTTGGGATATTTACATTACAAATAAATGGTTCATAAACGGGTTAATGGGTCAATATGGGTTGGATCATTTATAACCCAACCCAACTCACCCATTTAACAGGTCTAAATCTAATGTTTGGGTTTTTACGGGACAAAAAAAAAATTAGGGTAGAATTGGAAATAAACCTAAAGTTGGAGGATTTATACAAGACAGAGAAAAGTTTATGGTAGAATTGAGACTGGACTTAAAGTTAGAGATTTTTTGGGATATTAGGCCTACACTCTTGTGAAAATTCATTTGCCCGAGCTTTAGAAGGTGAGGACGTACGAGAGCGTGACATGTGGCTCCTTCCAGAGCAGCCACGTGCGCTCGCCTTCGCGGTTTCCAATTCCGATTTTGCTCAGCCTATCTTCGTATAGGTAATGGACTGGGCCGGACCCAATCGATTTTGATTGGGGTTGAACCCAATGTTTGACCCGAAGTTCGGCCCATGTACGCCGAGAGAGAGAGAGAGAGAGAGAGAGAGAGAGAGAGAGAGAGAGAGAGAGAGAGAGAGAGAGAGGAGAAATCCTATCCTACTAATGAACGAACGTGTTTTGAGTAGGGGTGAGCACGGATCCAGGGTAGAACCGAACCGATGGATCCGGTTCGATTCTCGATTCTAAGGAGGGAGGTTCCGATTCCTGATTCCATTTTTTTAGGAACCGAAATCGGAACCGAGAACCGAGAACCGGAATCGACATCGGGAACCGAAACCGAGAATTGGAACCAAAATCAGGAATCGAAACCGAGAATCGGGAATGGAACCGGGAACCCTACATTTAAAATCTCTAATTTTCTTACTACTCCTCACTCCTTACTTCTTGGCTCTCAAATTCTTATCTTCATCCGCATGCTCATTACTTTGCTTAACTTGTCATATAGAGCATTTCCTAATGTTTATTTACCATTCGCATGCTCATTGCTTTGCTTAATTTGTTATGTTTGGGTGTTTATTGTTCTATATCTATGCCAAGTTTTTGTTCTTTTGTGAGGTTTATGGTTTTTGTTAGGGGTGATTGGTTTCAGGGTGGTCGGTTTCAGACTTGGAATCTGAAACCGACATTGTTATAACCGGTTCCTAGTTTTTGAAACCTAAAACCTACCCTGTTTGCCCTGGACCACATTTTGGAATCTACCCTATTTTTTCGGTTTCCTTACAAGGTCTACCCGAGAACCCCCTTTTTTTTTGTTCCTTTTTTTTGTTTCATTTTTTCCGGATAGCAAATAGGAAAACTTATAACTCAAATCAAAGGTTATAAGTTTGACTATGCAAACAATCTTAAGTATTCATACAAAAGCATATTATCTTAGTCCCAATAATTTAATGGACGTGATAAAACAGCATAGGTTCCAGTTGGATATGTAGTTTCTTCATTACAAAATAAAAATTTTAAGAAAAGGAAATTTCTCCTTATAATGCTTACAAGCCCTTGAGTTAGACTATCCGCAAATACTGATCACCTCCCTCATCCTTTATGATAGAATGCTTTGAATTTTGGCCATATAAAATTGCAAATGGACCTCCAAATAAAAACGATTCTAAAATCGATCCGGGTGGGTAAGTGGAAACCGGACCAGTTTTAACTAGTTCCCAAAAAATGGAACCGGTTCAAACGGGAACCGGCAACCGGACCTGTTTTTTGGGTGGGCCGGTCCGATTTTCGGGTAAACCCGGTCTGGTTGCACACCCCTAGTTTTCGTCATTCACTCTTTTAAGAAATATCTTAAGCTTGATAGTTGCATAGTTAGAACTATGGCGATAATGGATGAAAAGAAAAAGTTGTAGCTGCAATTACAAATAATCGATACGTGGCACTTCAATTTTAAATTTAAAACTATTATTAAATTATCAACTATGATTGTTGTTTCTTTTGATTTTAGGTGGTTAGAATTTGGAACAAATTTTCATGGATGTTTAAGGACCAAAAGCTCATGTTTGTTTCCTTTTTCCCGCTTCCCGTTTTATTTGTGGTCCTGGAGATGGATATTGTCTTGATTAACATGCTAATCGCTTGTGAATTCTATTGCGTATTGATTCACGCAATGACTTCTCATTTTAATTGTATTTATTTGAACTGTAATGCTAGGAAAACTAGTCTTTTGTATTTTCTTTGGTGAATAATAAGCTTTTTCGGTATTGTTGCGTTCATTTTTGTTTTA